ACTGCGGTTCTCACGGCTGTGGAGCTGCCTGGCCGCATCGCTGCTCACAGCACTCAGCTTCGTCTTCACTTTCAAATCATTTCAAGAGTGTCGCCTCTCACTGAGTTTCCGGAAGGCAAACACTGCTCCCATTCTCCGGAGTTGCCAAGTGCTGAGCCCTGTGAGGAGCACTGAGTAATTGCTGCTGAACTCTAGCAAGAAATAAGTAGTTTAAACCGATTTCTAACATGTGTGGTTCTCTGGGAGCAATAATCGAAAGACCTAAACCTTCTCAGCAACACCTACCAGAGGCTTTATCTGCCTTATTAAAAAATGATTTCCCATGCTTAGATTTTATCTTCTAAAACAAAAACTGATGCCAGACAACTCTGTGGTTTTGTCAGGAAATCTTTCCTGTCCAGAATTTGGGCTGTGCTCTCCTTTCTGTGAATTAGAAGTATTTAAACAATTTGATTTAAATTAAAGGAGTAATTATTAAATTATTACTTAAATAATACTGTTTTCTTTCTGACAGGGGCCTCAAGGTGAAAATAAAAATTTACTCAGAACCACAGTAGTCCTTCTCACGGCTCAAATTTTTCATTCTGTCCTCAGGTTATGTTTAGCGAGGGGTGCGGTGCAGGAGTGAGTGCACAGCTGAGGGTGCAGCAGCTACGAGGAGCCAGAGGCTGCCTTGCTGAGGAGGAGACTCGACCAGAAGGTCTTCGGGAATGGTGTTCCTGTCACCGTTTACTTTCTTCCTTTCAAAGCCCTTTGGTCCTGGCCCCCAGCCCACTCCTTCCTGGGTGTGCTCCCAGGGCCGGGCCGTGAGGCTGCCCAGGTGGACCCCCCTCCCCAGCCAGGGCTCCAGCCAGCACAGCCCCGAGCCCCGAGGACAGACAGACTCTCCCAGTGTGGCCCCCAGCGTGCCCAGGACGGGTGTCTCCCACCGCTGCATTTCCAGTGTTGCCTCAGCTCCCCAGGCCACCGGAAGGAAGCAAAATCAGGAAAGGTCCAGTTCAGCACCTGCACTCTCCCGCCAGAAAGGCCCAGCCCCGTCCTCGTGTGGCGGAGCCGGCCCACCAGGTCCCGGGTCTGTTAAGCTGTATCGCCCCTGATTTACTCTTCTTTTTGGTACCGGGGATCGAACTTGGGCCCTTGCGGTTGCGCCCCCGGCCCCCTGATTTACTCTTATGCGGGGGTGTTTTCAGGGTGCAGCAGCTGAATCCTCCACGGAGCCGTGACATGTCACCTGGGTTTCGGCCTGCTGTTCCAGCTGATTATCACCTGTGAACTCTTAAATGGCCCGTGAAGCATTCCAGAGCACTCAGCAAACCCACTCTACGCCATGTCCATCTCTGCTATCCATGGCAGAGCCTCGTATGACCCCACAAAGAACCCTCGCTGTCCTTAGCTCTCCCTCCCTGCTCCTCTAGCACCTTGGGGAAGCCACTAATCTACTTTCCATCCCCACAGATTTGTCTGTTCTGGAGATTTCACACAGCTGGCTTCCCACAACATGAGTCAACTGGCTTCTTTCACCTAGCTGCCCGTCTGTGCGCACACCTGTCGGTCCACTATGCAGTTCTTGCCATAGGACAGACAGTCCATTATATGTGGGGACCACAGTAGCTGGTGGACATCGGGTTATCCCCACATTTCAGTAATGGAGGGCATATTGTTATGAATACAGTGCAGGTTTGTGTGAGGAGACGTTTTGATTGGGGTCTGCACCGTGAGTAGGACAAATGCACGTCACTGTGGCCATCTGGGGAGCCGCCACCGTCTGCCAGGGCTGCGGCATTTGCTCTCCCATGGCCGGGGCTTTCCGGTGCCTCCACGCCCTCACCAACATGCCACTGCTGTCTAAATTTTATACCTGTTCACCAGTGTGAGGAGCTGTCTCACCGTGGCTTTGATTTGTACTTCCCTGGTGGCTCACCATGTCGAACCTTTTTCTTGTGCCTATTGGCCATTTATAAAATGGCCTTTAGAGAAATGTCCATTCATTTGCCCCTTTAAAAATTGGGTTGTCTTGGGGCCGGGGATTTAGCTCACTGGTTCTGCCACCTGCCTCGCAAGCACAAGGACCCGAGTTCAATCCCCGGTACCAAAAAAAGAAAATTGGGTTGTCTCTTTAGAATCAGGTCTCCATGGCTCTTCATACAGTTTAGATGCAAAGATTTTCTCCTGTTTTCATGGGCTGTCTTCCCACTTTCCCAATAATAACCTTTGAAACACAAACACTTTAAAGGTGTGTGATGCCCAGGTTATCTTTTTCTTTGGTTGCTTGTGCCTTTGCCTGGGGATGTGAATTGTCCAGAAACCTCCTGTCCCAGATCTATCTTTTCTCTCCTCCACAGTGCCACCCTCTAGTGTGATGAGCAGGTAGCATCTCTGTCCTGTGGAAGTGGAGACTACAGTAGGGCCGAGGACACAGGCCCGAGCCCCAGGCGTGCTGGAGACAGTGAGCCTCCTGCTCAAAGCCCTGCTTGCTTTTTTATTTTCCTCCAGAAAACTGATTTGCAGATGCTCATGTGGCTGTCGGGCGAGGCCTCCCTTCCCAGCAGTTAAACGTCACCAGGAGACCGAGGTCCCCCAAAGGTGGAGCACAGGGCCTCGAACGTGCCTCCTCCACTCCCCTCCTCCAGCCTTTGCCTGCAGCATGGACCCCTGCAGTCCACGCAAGGTGCAGACCTCAGGGTGTTGGAGGCCATGCAGAGGAGAGGGGCCTGGTCCAGAGAGCTCGCCGGCCAGCACGAGAGTGAGCCCTTGTTTATAAAAAAAACCTTCGAGCTGTGTTTTGGAGGAGGCAGAGACCCCGCCTTAGGCCTGGCCTCTGGCCTTGATGCAAGCAGCTGCCCTAATTAGGCTGGATTCAAGTGCTCTGCCGTCAGCCCTTGGGGTTCCAACCCCAGTCCCAGTTTACACTGCTCATGGCTCCAGGCAGGTTGCTCGATTCTCCTCACTCATCACTTCATTTTTCTGAATTAAAAAAATCATTTTTATTCCCTGGGATCAAGGGCCTCACACGTGCTAGGCAAACGCTCCACCTCTGAGCTCCACCCCTAGACCTCTATTTGGAGACAGAGTCCTGCTAAGTTGCCTCGGTTGGCCTGGCCTCCAACTTACACCCCCGGTCCCAGCCTCCCTCGCTAAGTACTTAAGAGACTGGCCCATGCACAGTAAGTACTTGCTGGCTCTTAGTTCTTCTTTTATAACTTGTTCATAGATATTTATTTCATAAACAATGACTGACTCCTAAGTGTATGGGTTCTCCTAAGTATGTGGACTCCTCTTCCTGTTTGGTTCTGGGGCTATGGAGGAAACAGGACAAAATTTCTTCCCCGAGGAGCTAACAATGTAATAAGGAAGTCAGAATTCACAATGGAATCGCACCATGGCTACAGAACGTTTCCCGAGGAGGTGGCGTTTCAGAGAGGACCCACTGCCTCACGCTGTCAGGAAGCCGAGGATGGGGTGGAGAAAGAGGGGGGATAAGAACTGGGTTGGTTCAGATGCCTTTTATTTTCCAGCAGTTCCTGGGCTGTAGATTGGCCAGCCAGAGAAAACATCACTGACGTTACACAGAGACCCTAGATCCCAAGTGGGACACAAGTGTGAAACACGCATCTGTGTAGGGAGTTCATTTTCATCTCTCTCTCTCTCTCTCTCTCTCTCTCTCTCTCTCTCTCTCTCTCTCT